CTATTCAGCACTTAGAGAGTACAGGCTGGAGGATCAGAAGTTCTAGGTCTTTGACCTCACAGTGGGTTCATGGCTAGCTTGGGATACACAAGACCATGTCTCAAACAAAACAAGCCTACCTAAAATATTTCTGCAAAAACTTTAGACTTGACATGGCTGGTGAAATTTAAAGTTAAAATGTCAAAACCCTAAACCCTATAATGTCATCTGAAAAACAATCAACAGTTAAAAGGCAATAAAATAATTCTTCATTCATAGACATGGTTAGACCGAAAGTAACACAAACAGTTACTGTGGCCATTCTCAAGCTTACCCACTAGGTAGTCAACAGAACGAGAACAAAAAAGTTATCAACTAAATAGTATATGCCATCTTATTTAAGTGTGACAAGCTTTGTACAATGGTTCTGTATCTGAAAAGTTACCGGGAATAAATTCTTTGTAAGTTTAGAGCGTTTTCAACTTTATAAAATGACTTAACTTCCATGGCACTTATCCTTACGTAACACAGCTCTCATTCCCTTCTAAAAGTGGAAAAATGAGAAGTCATGTAATGTACTTTTCAGAGCAACTGGTCTTTTGGTTCTTTATAAAATCAGTCCATGATGGTTTCTTCTTAAAATGAATATAAAAATTTAAAGAAACAACTCACAGGGAAGGCAGTGAGGTGTGGGACAGGTACCAGAATGTTAGGAACTGTGTGTTTAGTAAAAGCTGTACTATTAAACAGTTATGAGGCTGCGACCTATATACTCTCCGATTCTTCTCGTCAGTACCTAGATGCTTGAGACTTACTAAAGATTTAAATCTCTCTCTCTCTCTCTCTCTCTCTCTCTCTCTCCCTCCCTCCCTCCCTCCCTCCCTGCCTCCCACTGAAGCATATGCACATATGTGTGCAGGTACACGTGCACATGTGAAGCCAGAGGAGGGTGTCAGGTGACCTCCTCCCCCACTTTGGCTCTATTCCTTTGAGGCGGAGCCTCTCTGAATCAGGGCTCATGTTTCAAGCTATGCGGTGGCCAGCAAGCTGCAGCGATCCTTCCATCTCCGTGCTCCAGTGCTGGGTCACAGGGTCACAGGCGCGTGAGAGACCACACCTGACTTACAGGTGCTAGATCTGAACCCAGGTCTTCACAGTTGTGCAGTAAGTGCTCTTAGCCATAAGCAATCTCTCTAGCCCTAAATTTTAAAATTTCAAAAGGATTTCACAAACTGGTTACATGAATAATTATTTCCTATAGTCCTTAAAGTTAATTTCGTATTTGTGTGTGTATATTAAGTATTCAACAGAGAATAACTGAATGAAACAAATAAGTTTTCTACACTAGTGTACAATGTATATCCATGTTTATGAAAACAAAATTAACAGCCTTGCCTATAACCACGGACTCATACAACACCTGGGTATTAAGTGTCAATGGCATAACAAGGGCTGGAGAGCCAGATATGCTGTAGTGGATGAAGTTCTCCCTCAGGAGACTTACATTCAAGGAGGGAAGGCAGACCAAACACTACACACTGCCATAGTGCTTTCAGGGAAACAAAAGGCAGCTTTCATAAGTCATATCAAGGGTGGGCTAGCTGAATTAAGAGAGTTAGAAAAGACCTCCTGGAGGAGGGACGAGTAAGCACGGAACCAGAACCGAAGCAAGCTATCTGGAAGAGTTAAAAAAAATTAAAACAACTGAATAAAACAAGGCAAAAGCACAAAGAGGATGACAGGGACGTATCTTGGAATATGTGCGTTGAGGTGTGGTCTGTTGCCATGTATCATAATGCTAAATACTGGCCCCAAGGTCTGGTTGCCTCAGGGATGAGGAAATCCTCATGTACACCAAGTGATGCTATGTACAAGAACTGGCCATGAGGGCTGGCCAGCTGGAGTTACTGGCAGGAAAGTAGACAAAATAGCACAGAGGGCTGATATCTGTCCAGCTCTAGTGCTGTCTAAAGTTGGTGTCTTTTATCTGGGAACTAAACAATCTAAGGTGGGGTATAAACCCCCGATTGATATTAATTTTAACTACAACATATATGGGAAAGGAAACAGGCCCAGGTGGCAGGCAGCTGGCTCCAAAGAAGCAAAGTGACATGAAGCAATGGTAAGATGACCAACTCCACATGGAGGGTGCTACAGGCCCAGGAAGCTAACTCATTTGAGGGATTGAGGGGAAGAAGGGAGTATTAAAGTAAAACCTCTCAGTAAGTAGATTGGGTGTAGTCTAGCAGAAAATAGAAAGCCAAAACTGATACTACCAGCTGGTTCAAACAGGAGCCCTGCGCATAACACATCCTCGTTGGAAGCCCTCCAACTCCTCTGGCAAAGGATGATTTGTGTCTTACACTGAGCTGATTGCAGTGAGCCACCTACTGGCTCAGGGACATTCAACTTCTTACTCTACAAATACCCACACAACTTATAACTGGAAAATCCTACCACAAAGGAAACCCGAGCTGGATGGACTCACCAGTAAACCCTGCATACGTAAGACGGAGCCAACACCAGGCCTGCACAAACTGTTTCAGAAAACAGAGAAGGGGCGTGACCCAAGCAACTTAAAATCAACAGTATTACTTGAGTTAAAACCACACAAAAGCATTGCTAGAATAGAAAACTGTATTATATATCATAAGAATAATGCAGAATTCCTTAACATAAATCCAGCAGTTATAGAAAAGAAATATTTCATGAGCAAGTGGGATTCCAGGTATTCAATACTGGTTTAAAGTTTGAAAGTAACATAATTTATCACATTACAGTAAATAAGGAGAAATATGATTGTTCCCCTCAATAGCTACAATTAATTATTAATTTAAAAATTGAAACACATTCATGATAAAAACTATCAGTAAGAAGGTGCCTGGAAACACTCACCTCATAGCAATAAAACAGAACAAAACAAAACCAACCAAACAAAAACCCTCCTCCTTACACCTGGATCTAAGTTCCTTAATAACACCTGCCAATAAACCCCCGAGGCTGCTCAGTAAAGTGGCTGAGCTGAGGGAAGGAAAATATAACATGAGCCATGGATGCTTCACGGTACCAGGAACTACAGGAAGTACCCCAGAATAACAAGGTGTGCCAAGTGACAGATGCTAACCCAAAGGAGGCCCGCCCAATGGTGTGAGCGACAAAGTAACTAGAGTCCTAGACAAGGCTCACTGCATCTGAGCCCTCCCTGAGTCACAGAATGAAATGTACAAAGGACTGACAAGACAAATCATAACCCCGCAGTGAGAGTGAGAGCAGGAGGAATGCTAGACTTAGGACATTCTGAGTAGAGACAGTACTTGTACAGTCTCCAAGTAGCTCCTTTTACATCTATTTGCTTTTATTTCTTATTTTTTAAAATCAGGGGCTGGAGAGGGCTCAGTGGTTAAGAGCACTTGATGTTCTTGCAGAGGACTTGAGTTCAGTTCCCAGCACCTACATGGTGGCTTACAACCATATTTGTCTAGCACCTTCTGGCCTCTTCATGTACAAGGTATGCACGCAGTACACATATATGTAGGCAAAACACTCACACACATAAAATTACATTTTAATTTAGCCTGTGTGTATGAGTACACTGCATGTGTCACAGCACATATGCAGAGGTCAGAGGACAACTTAGACAAGTTGGTTCTTTCCTTCCACCATGTAGGAATTTGAGCCCTTAGCCTACATGGTGGAATCATACAATAGATTCCCAAAACCTGTTCTGCGACCTCCATGTACATGCTGTGACATATACCCTGCAAACACAAAGTAAGTAAATAAAACGTAATTCAAAGGAAAGGAGCTGGAGAGATGGTACAGCGGCTAAAATAATTGCCAGGTAAGCATGATAACCAGATTCGAGATCACCAGACTGGCCCATGGGAAACACTAAGAAGGTGCAGTGGACCACCCATAATTCAAGCCTCAGTACGAGGAGACAAAGGATCCCCAGGGCAAGGTGGCCAGAAAGACTAGCCATACTGTTGAGCCGCGGACTTGAGAGGCCCTGCCTTAATGAATAAGGTAGAAGAGAAAAGATTATTTCCAGCCTCAGGCTTCTACATTCTTATATACACGCATGCATGCACACATAGATTAATAATAAAAGCAAAAAACAGAATGTAAAAATAACTAGTTCTGACACTAGAAGAATCACAGCTTCTAAAAAGACCTGAATTTATTTTATTTTAATGTGTATGGATGTTTTGCCTACATGTGCCTGGTGCCTGTGTAGACCAGAGGAGGGCATCAGATTCCCTGGGACTGGTGTTACAGATGTTGTGAGCTGCCATATAGATGCTGGGAATTGAGCCCAGGTCCTTGCAAGAGCAGCTAGTGTTCTTAACTACCGAGCTACTGTTCCAGTCACTCATGTTTTCATTTTAACAGTTTATATCTAAAGTTGTGGCCTTTAAAGGCAAATGAATTCAAGAGTACCTTAAGCTTATCATACATAACTAATTAGTGACATTCAGTAGTAAACAGCAAACCAACTCCTAACACTGACTATTTAGCATAGCAAGCTGAGCTCAGAGACAACTGCTCTGATCCTTAAATTTTACCACAAAATACAAACAAGAAAAAAAATCATGGAGAAAAATAACTGACATGGAGTAGAACGTGGGACTTGTTTTAAAGCACACTTATACTTTACCCAGTCATTTTCTGCTGAAATCTTGGTTTTGGTTGGTTTTTTTGCACTTGATATTTGGCCTTTTTACTCTTTATAAAGTTTCTTCAATAAGGTAAGTGGCAAGAGACCATTCAAACATAAACACAGTATTACTACTGTGGATACCATTAATAACTTGCAGTAGGAATAAGGGCAGCACAGCAGTATGCTGGCTAAAAGAGAAGTCAGGCAGAGAGGAGGAAAATCCTCGAAGGGCATCCTTTAATTATGGCTAATGAGCTGCCATCCATCTCCACCGAATCCACTCAGAACAAGACCCATACTGTGATCAAATGTCTTTATAGGTAGACGAGTCAGCAAGCACAGGAAAGCAGGTAGTACTTACTTCCGAAGGTGGTCATGTTCTTTCAGAAACAGTTCAGTTCTCCTGTTGTTTACTCCAGACCCACTTTTATATGATCTAGAACAATGGCAAGAAAAGGCAAGAACATTTTTAGAAGATGCTGCAACATCAGGTTAAGACACTAAGCCAAATGACAGCAGAGGAGAGTTCTGTGTTCTCCACAGTTTTAAGTAAACAACAAGAACGTAATGCTTTTCACTTCCCTCGAGAATGACTACCACAGATGTAAAGGATGAATTTTGTTTCTCCAGTTTAGATTTAGGGGTTTTCTGTTTTTCACCAAACTAACCCAAGCTTCTGAACAGAGGATCTTCCTTTTCCTGTGTGTATTACCTTCCATATTATTTTCTCCAGCAGAAGTAGAACTTTAGACTAATGAGCACATGGCACAGGAAGCTACTGAACCAACATTATTCATCACAGCAGCGCAGGCCACTCATGAGCAAAGTCTGAGGAACACTGCAACCCCAATGTTTAGTCCTGGTACACTTCAGGATTTCCATGTTCACTGTCAGCACGTTACAGTTACCAAAGGGGACCTTTCTTTACCTCTATCAATAATCTTATTTTCCTGCTTTTCATTAGTAATAAGAATTAAGAACATTTTCTTTCCTTCTTTTCTTTTTTAGGAGTCAGGGTTTCTCCGTGTAGCCCTGGCTGTCCTGGAACTCTCTATGTATACCAGGTCTCAAACTCACAGGAATCTGCTCGCTTCTGCCTCCTGAGTGCTGAGGTTAAAGGCATGCACCACCACAACTGGTCTTTAAGAACAATTTTTTTTTTAATTCTCAAACTGTACCAATGTGTACGATACCTACTTTTGTAAAATAAGACCTGATGGTAGCTGCCTCTTTCAAAAGAGTATCGTGGAACCAAAAAGGTAATACACAAAAAGGACTGTGTAACATGCAAAAACAGTACAGAATACACTAGCAAAGCCGTCAGCAAACCCTTGTTACTTAGGCATAACTAGGCCTCACTCATTAACAAGCTTCCCTCCAGCACTGTGATGGTAAACTCCTTCAAGGCTAAGCTGACATTTTCACACCGTCCGTCTACACAATGTCTTGCTCATAGCTGGTACTCAGACAATGGTTTAATGAATGAAGTTTTTCAGAAACTAAAGTGTTATATTCTGGTGGCTTCCACAAACTGTAGAAGAGCTAAACCCCTCTGTGGGTTCTGACTGCAGTCTTCAAATTGTGACTGCAAGGCAGCTGTACAGAAATTAAAGAAGCTTACACATTCCAAACAACGACACTGCCACACGGCAGGTCAGGCGTGGTAGTACACACTTTTCCTCCCAGCTCTTAGGAATTAGAGTCTGAGGCCAGTCTGCTCTATAAGGCAGGTTTCAGGCCTGCTAATGCTATGTAGAGAGGCTCTCTAGGAAGCTTTCTCAGAGCACACGTAACACATACCATAATACATCATGCACTTGTGATGAGTGCGTGTCCTAGTTGATATACCATAAGTATCACAAACTATCACAAACCAGATCATGGTAGCATCATTCATTAAATGGTCCAAAATGGGAAAACTGTCTAGGTATGGTAGAAGCTACCTACCATCTCAGCCCTCAGGAAGCAGAGTCAGGAGGGCCACAGCCAAAGCCAGCCTGACCAATGCCTCAAGAAAACAAAAAACAAGAGAGAAAATCTTCAGCATCGGTTATATACTCTATAGGACTTCATCAGTCAAGGCCAGTTGTAGAAACTAAGACTCTATGTGGAATGTTAGCCTATGCCCCTGAGGGGCGGTCAAGCAAAGGATGGAAAGAACAAACCTTTCTGACTGAGACCACTGTAAAATGCCGAAGGCCTTAGCCTTGCAAGGCTTTCATTCTACATTAAACCTAGAAACTCCTGCCTCCATAGAAACATAGTTTGGAATTTCAGGGAAGCTAATAGCTTACGCTGGACTTAAGGTCAAGGTTGGCAAAGGCTCATAGGACGACTGGGAGACGGCAAAGTAGAGTCAGCCCATATGTTAGCAAGCTTCAAAGAAACATGAAATGGAAAACCAAAAACCCCAAAGTCTAAATCCTGGTTTTGCTACTCAATTTGCAATTAACCACAGATACAGCCTGAATCCACATAAACACTGTAAACGGTAACATGAAAGGTAACTTACTCAATATCTTTTCGTACTGATCCCATGAGATTCTCCCTTTCCCGTACTGCCATAAAGTTTGCTTTGGTTTTATGGAATTCATGTGTATAGTCCTGCAATAAATCAACATCCAGACTTAACACAAACTATTTATGTACTTTGATCCTTCTAAAGTAGTTGTACATGCACATCAGCCTTCACTTCAGAGCACGAAGTGTCCCACCACCCCGTGCCTTATCACACAGGAATTATAAGAACAAAAAATCTAAGACGAAACGACTTCAAATAGCCTAGGGTAAAAAATGGGAGAGACTTTTCTACTCAATGGTGTGATTTAATAAGGCTTAGAGCTTATTTTTCAAACCCATGCCCACATCCCCACCTTCCTCTCAGTGCTGAGGATCCAACCCATGGCTTTACAAATGCAAAACAAATGCTCTACCACGGAGCTACACCCCCAGACTATTTTTAAGAAAGTTCTGTTGTCTTTCGTATTTGTATTAATTTTATGTATATTAAACAATTGAGTCCTTTGCTGTAGTTCTGACATTAGATCTTCCTTAGCTCTTCAATGCTCAGAAATTTATAAATTTCACCCACTCTCTATTTGGAACTTTGATGGATTTTCTTTCCTCTCCTTCTTTCCTATGCTTTTTCTACACTTAAGTTTTTGGGAGTGGTGGGGGGGAGAAAAAAGGGAGGGAAGGAGGAGAGGGAAAGGAGAAAGGGGAGGGAAAAAAGAAGGGAAGGAGGAGGTGAGAGAGAGAGAGAGAGAGAGAGAAAGAGAGAGAGAGAGAGAGAGAGAGAGAGAGAGAGAGAGAGAGAGAGAAGGAGGGAGGGAGGGAGGGAGGGAGGGAGAGAGGAAAATCTGCCAGTAAAACCCTATGTTTGCAGCTGGACTGTTTGTACACAGCTGGGGATGATAGTGTACTCTTGTAATCTCAGCAGTGAGGAGGCAGAGACAGGAGGAGCCCCATGGCTCACTGGCTCTATGGCTCATCCTAGCCAAATTGGCAAGCCTCAGTTCCTAGGGAGACCCTGCCTCAAAAACTAAGAACAACTGACTACCAAAGGTTGGCCTCTGGCCTCCATACATACACATACCTGCACCTGAGTGTTCATGCATGCATGTCCACATGAACACACATATGTACACACATGAATGCACGCACACAAACATGCACACACACACTCTTATCTTTAGAGAATTTTTACAATTTATGCATGTTTGTGTGGGGGTACATGTGTGGAAGTCAGCAAAGTTAGCTGTAAAGTTAGCTCTCTCCTTCCACCATGTGGTCCTAAGGAATGAACTCAAGTTGTCAAGGCTTGATAGCAAGTGCTTTTACTCAAAAGCCACTTAGCTGGCCCCTAGAAACAAACTATCAATTATCCCAGCTTTTTTGTTTGTTTTAAAGATTTATTTATTTATTTTATGTACATGAGTACACTGTAGCTGTCTTCAGACACACCAGAAGAAGGCATCGGATCCCATTACAGATGGTTGTGACCCACCATATGGTTGCTGGGAATTGAACTCAGGATCTCTGGAAGAGCAGTCAGTGCTGAGCCACCTCTCTAGCCCCTTATCTTAGCTTTTCAACAGGTTTCAACATCTGGTAAAATTAAACACTCTTCTTCACTTTGAGAGCTATATTAAGCTTTATTCTTGATCATTTTATATGATTTTAAATGAACTTTGCTATCATCTTGCCATTCTAAAAAAAGTAAAGGAAGTCAGTTGGTGGTACAGCTGTAATTCCAGTACTTGGAAAGTGGAATAAGAGGATTGGGAATTCAAGGCCAGTTTATGGTAAAGGCAACTGTTTCAAAAACCAAATTTAAAAAAAAAGAATACAAAGAGCTGAGTGAGGGCACACACTTGGAACTTCAGTATTTGGAGGCTGAGGCAGGGGGATTGAAAGTCAGGGACAAGTATGGATTACAAAGCCAGAGCATAAAGCTTGCCCCAAAGAAAAATAATTTCCTATTTCTTCCTTTATACATATATGTAGTTTCATTTATCCCCCAAGCTGGCTTTGAACTCCTGATCTTCCTGTCTCTACCTCCCAAGTACTGGGATTACAGGTTGACACCATCACACCTGGCTGGGTGTGTTTCACTTTTGGTGCCAGTGACTGAACAAGGGCCTCCTTCATGCTCGCTCTCTGCTGGTCCTGACCCCACCCCATGTAATTCATTTCCTAATGGGTCACTGGGATAACAGAGCACAATGGCTTGCTTTTATATATACCATCCTACTGAGTTTGTTTCTAACTTTTATCATTTAATTTTCTTGGTGTATCAGACATACATGATTTTATCATGCCACGTTATAAATTGGCCTCTTCCTTTCAAATATTTATCTCAGGTTTTGCTGTTGTTTTTTATTAACTGTACTGATGAGAAACTCCAAAGCAATGTCAGACATCTATGGTGGTTATAAGTACCCTTTTCTTGTTTTGTTCTTTTCTTTTCTGAGTCAGGGTCTAACAGCATGGTCTAGTCTCGGCTTTCTGATTTTCTTGTGTCTTCTGGGATTCTAGGCCTGAACCAGAATTGGGAACTGAACTCAGAGCTCTGTGTATATTCTGCCACCTTCTGGGGGCTGAGTGTGGGGCCTTGTGCACTTACTACAAATCCTCCCACTGAATTCTACTTCTGATCGTTGCTGTTGTCCCCCTCACCGCCCACCACCCTTCGAGACGAGGTTTACTATGTATCCCTGGCTGGCCTGGAATTCACTACACACACCAAGTTGACTTCCAACTTGTGGTACTCCACTTCCCTCTATTTTGCAACTGCTGGGGTTACAGCTGTGTGCCACCATACTCCGATTCCCAATTGTGGAACAGAAAGATGGCTCAGCAGGTAAAGGCATTTGTTGCCAAGCCTGACAACTGAGTTTAATCCCAAGAACTCAGAGCGGAAAACTAGAACTGAGTTCTGTAAAGTGTCCTCTGACCTCCACATGTACACATAGACACACAGATACACATACATACATACATACATACATACATACCTACATACATACATACATACATACTTACATACATAAATGTATGTAGGTATGTATGTATAAAAGATAGTTTTGGAAAGCATTCCTCTTTGTTTAGGTGTGTGCCTGTGTGCTTCCTATGCACACATGTGCAGAGGTATCTTCTTCTATTGCTCTCCACCTAGTTTTTAAGTCTCTCAATGAATCTAAAGCTTGCACTTTTGGCTAGGATAGCTGGCCAGCAAGTCTTTAGGATTATCTGTCTTCATCTCCTACAAAGTTGAGATTGCAGATACATATGGCCATGTCTGGCTTTTATATGGGTTCTAGGGATTTGAACTCAGATCCTATTGCTTTCATAGCAAGCACTCTGACCCATGGAGCCATCTCTCCTATTCCTGTCACCACCATATCATCATCACCATCATCACCATCACCACCATCACCATCTTGAGACAGGGTCTCACTATGCAGTCCCAGCTGATCTGGAACTCATCCTATAGACTGGATTGGCCTTGAACTCACTCAAACTGGCCTGCCTGACTCCTGAGTGCTAGGATTTAAAATTGGGTACCAATTTTTAAAGAGTTCTTAAATCATATGGTTGTTTAATTTTCTCAGTAATAACAATGTTTGCCTTCTAATCTGTACATCTGTACTTTAATACCACCTAATAAATCTTTACATTTATGCTGTTTTGTTATACTTTTAATATTTGCTAAAAAGATACTCTAACCACAGTTAATTACTCCTCTTGCAGCCAACTCAGTAGCATGGAGACATTACACCCCATACACCACCTGCAGAATGTCTCTGTGTCGCTGCAGCGTGTGCATCAGGGCTGCATTCAGTGACGGCACCCCTGCACTATGGGTGTACTCTGCCATTTTGTCGTTTACTCCTGTAAGCTAGAAAGAAAAGGGAAATAGTTTAAAAAGCACTAAACACAGCTCAAGTGAATTATTCGCCTATATGTCCTCTTGGCTGACAGTAAACAAGACAAGACCCAGTCACCAGCAATTCCCACAAAGAACATGTTCCAATTTGGATGGCCGCCATTAAAATTCACGTGGTCAGAGGAGGAGCACACAGTGAATGAACAGGTGTTTTCAGTAAACAGTATAATTTGGAACCATATCTAACAAACAGCAAACTAGCTGTTTACCCAAAAGCACTTACCCTTGCCAAAAGCTGTTCAATTTCAATTGCCATTGTCTCAAACATTCTGTCTTGGCTTGATCCATTTAATAGGGGTGTTGTGTCAGAACTAAAGAGAAGTTCAATTAAAAAATCCATTACTTAGCCCTTTAAAACATCCTTAAAATAGTCAGGTAATTTTTCTTAAAGAGATCAAATAAACTCCAAAACATTCCTTCTCTTTCTTTAAAAACTATGATTTTATGGCCCAGTGGATAAAGCTGCCAAGCCTGGTGACCAGAGTTCAGTTACTGGGATCCACATGGTAGGGGGAGAGAACTAACTCCTATTAGTTGTTCTGAACTAGATAATACCATCCTCAGTGAGGAAACCCAGACCCAAAAGGACACGCATGGTATGTACTCACTGATAAGTGGATAGTAGCCACCAAGTACAGAATAACCATGCTACAATCCACAGACCCAAAGAAACTAACAAGGAGGTCCCAAAGGAGGATGTGTGAGTCTCACTGAGAAGCAGAAACAAAATAGACATTGAAGGTATATGGAGGGAGGGAACTGGATGGGAGAGGGAGTGAGGAGGGGAATGGGATCAGGGGTGGGGAGAGGGGGTGCAGGAGAGGACTGGGAGTAAGAACAGAAACTGATAGGGGAGCATCTCTAAGACTAGCTGGAGCCCTGGGATGGGGAAGCTCCTGGAAGTCTCTGGGGGTGATCCCTAGAGACTCCTACCAATGAGGGATATGGAGACTGAAATGGCTACCTCCTGTAGCCAGGCAGGACTTCCAGTGAAGGGAGGGGGACATCAAGTCATCCCCAAAACCTTCAACCCCAAATTATCCTGCCTTCAAGATACACAGGATAAAGATGAAGCAGAGGTTGAGGGAACAGCCAACCAATGACTGTCCCAACTTAAGACCTATCCCATGGGAGACAGCCAACCTCTGACACTACTACTGATACTCAGCTCTGCTTGTACAGAGGAGCCTAGCACAACTGTCTCCTGAGAGGCTTCATCCAGCAGCAGACGGAGGCAGATGCAGAGACCCACAGCCAAACATCAGAGTTTGGGGAGGCTTGTGGAAGAGGGGGGGATAGAACTGAGCAAGCTGGAGGGGTCAAGGACACCACAAGAAGATCCACAGAGTCAATTAACCTGGGCCAATGGGGCTCACAGAGACTGAACTACCAGCCAAAGAGCATGCTCAGGATGGCCCTAGGTTCCCTACACATTTGTAGCAAATGTGTAACTTGGTCCTCATGTGGGTTCCCTAATAACTGGAGTGGGGGCTGTCTCTGACTGTTGCCTGCCACTGGATCCCTCTCCTCTAAATGAACTGCCTGGTTGGGCCTCAGTGAGAGAGGATGAGCTTAGTCCCGCTGCAACTGGATGTCCCTGGGTGTTGGGTACCAAAGGGGGGCTTCCCCTTCACTGAGGAGAAGGATTTGTAAGAGTGGGACTGGGAGGAGAGGAGGGAGGGAAGGCCGCTATCAGGATATAAAATGAAAACATAAATCAATGAAAAAAAAACCCACACATCCTAAAATACTAAAAAACAGTACAAAATATAAATGATATGAAGACATTCCAAACGCTGTGTACCACTCTCCAAATGACAGAGAATACTCTAAGCAACTAAAATTCTAAATTTGAAAGAATAATGGAAAAGAAGCAAAAAACTCTTTATAATAGTGAAGGGGAAAAAATGGTTACAGATTACATTATGGAGCCTAAGAGGAAATAATCTTTATCTTTTCTCCAAAAACAAGGTTTCTTATGCCTTTAAATTCTTTCTTCCTTTAATGACTCTTATCAAAAAGAAAACTGAGATTGAAATGACCTGATTAGATAAGCAGTTATTCAGGAATCAGCAGATAGCATCCAGGCTAACAGCAGAGGTCAGCATGCTTTCACACCAGGCTCCACTTCCACTCACAATCTGCCTCATACTAGTTTACAAGAATGTATTTAAGTCTCTTTATATCAGAATACCCGTCAGAAATCGGGCTTTTCACAGATGAAAGATGTCTGACAGATGCAAATTCTAAAAGTTGCACTTGTCTCTTCTCAAACACCACACCTCTTTTAGAAAGCCGTACTGTATACACGATCACACAGGCAGCTTAATGCAGATTAGTTATTCCCAACACAACAAAATGGATCACTCTCCAACCTGAGTGTAGACTGATGTCTCATCTTTATACAGCATTTAATGAGGCAACTCAAAGATTAAATCATCAACTCAACATCAAAAGAACCTTAGCGATCACTGTTCCCTCAAATACTTACTTTCATAATGAAACCAATCAGTGAACCTGCTAAAGAGCAGCTAGTAAGAACTTTTAAAGCATACTTATCTTACTTACTTATGGGTATGCTTGCTTGCCTGTGTGAGTTTATGTGCACCACTGTATTTTGAGCTGGAAGAGTCTGGAGGGCATTAGACTCCCTGGACTTGGATTATAAGCATTTGTGAGTATGTCCATGTAGTTGCTGAGAATCAAACCTAGGTTCTCTGCAAAAGCAGCTGTATCTCCAGTCTCAGTTTTTTTATTTTTCCCTTAAAGACAGAGGCTTGTTTTGTATACACAGGCCAAGCTAGCCTGGAACTTGTGGTCTTTTTGTTCTATTCTCCTCAGTGTGGGACTATAGGCATGTACCATGCCGGGCTTTAATAAGGATTCTTGTTTTAGATGCTTCACTGGGTCTTAAGCTTTATTTCTTCTTCAAGCATTCCCATTTCTATGCCTCGTAACATGACATAAAAATATCTAGTTCTTAGGCAGGCATGATGGTACATACCTGTAATTCCAGCACTTGGGAGGCTGCGGTAGGAAGGTAACAGGCTTGAGTCCAGCTTGGACCACACAGGGATCAAAGTAGAGACTGGGGTCAGCTTTTTATTGTCTCCTAAGCCAAGGTTGTGAGGGCATCTCCTAGGATGTGCAACTACGAAACAGCTCTCTGTGCCGCTGATCTGAACCCTCCTACAGGGTACACTGAAGACAACAATGGGCCAGTAGAGATCAAGAAGGAAACTGCTTGTCTTTTCATCTACATATGCCCAGTACCTGGCAAATGGTATTTACTGTTCTTTAAGTATTTGTTGAATGAATGAGTAACATGGCAATCTCTACTACTGGATATTCCATAGTCACTATTCTTAGGACGGTAGAGGAGTCCAGGAAAATGGTTTAAAAAAACTCATTCTCAGGGCTGGTTAAGAACACTGACTGTTCTTCCAGAGGTCCTGAGTTCAATTCCCAGTAACCATTACATAGTAGCTCACAATCATCTGTAATAGAACCTCTTTTAGTGTGTCTGAAGACAGTGACAATGTACTTACCCAAAACAAATAAATCTTTAAAAAAATAAACAAAACCTCCTCATTCTCTACAACACTAGGATTCAGCTGAGTTTAGTTCACTTAATAGGTATGAGATGATCCATAGTCCTTGACTCTCAGCATACAGAAAAGAACCCCAAGACCTCTAAAAGAAACGTTCTGTTCACCGATGACTCTATTCATGCGACATGTTTCCAATCTGGAAATCAAAATGAACACTGAGCATATGTGATGGTTTATATATGCTTGGCCCAGAGAATGGCACTATTAGAAGGTGTGGCCCTGTTCGAGTAGGTGTGTCACTGTGGGCGTGGGCTTAAGACCTCATCCTAGCTGCCTGGAAGCCAGTGTTCTGCTAGCAGCCTTCAGATGAAATGTAGAACTCTCAGCTCCTCCTGCACCATCCCTGCCTGGATGCTGCTGCCATGCTCCTACCTTGATGATAATGGACTGAACCTCTTGACCTGTAAACCAGCCCCAACTAATGTTGTCTTTTATAAGACTTGCCCCGCTCACAGCAGTAAAGCCCCAACTAAGACACCATGCACAGTCAATCTTTATTTTCCAGAGCTGGGGATTACAGTTCCCAGACATGGAACTCCAATGTCAGCCTGCAACCTCATAACCCTAGGCTCTCTAGGGAAGCAGAATCAGCCCCAAATCACAGACATTGTTTCTTTAAAAGGGAATCCAAGCAGAAAGTACAGGAAAAGCATCCTATAACAATGTTTCCTGGCAGATTTGAGTTTTAAAATTGTATACTCACTGGAAAAAACAAATGCGAACCTTAAATCCAAAAAAAAAAGCTTTCTGGATAGAAAGCTTACTCATTAAGAAACAAAGGCAAAAGTGATCCTCAAGTTGCTTACGTGGTGAATGAACGCGCGCAAACCACAGTCTCACACTGAGGTCCGTGGGGTGCCGCTAGCTTGTTTCTAGGTCCCACAGTCAACATATTGTACCTGCTAACTTTGTAAGCCTCGAGCCCTTATGAAAAAGGACCAATGTTTTGGCTACAATAGTGAAAAGAGATTTGTGGGGATGCCAACAACACGGGAGCCTTAGGATGCGAGTACTGGAGGTTAAAGCGCAACAACACGGGAGCCTTAGGATGCGAGTACTGGAGGTTAAAGCGCAGTTCTGTTGTTATCAGTATTAGCTAGAAAATATTCATCCTCCACTAACTGTTGAAAAATACAGAAATGAGAGTTGATTAACAAATGACAACTCTGCTGTCAACGATCTCACTGCTGGTGTATACATAAGTACAATCTGGGTGAAAATGTTCATAGCAACATTTATACAAAGTTTTAAGAACAGAACTTGAGATACAGTGATCATATTAGCTATTAAAATTATGATTAAGGAGCAAAAATTAGAAATGTCTATCAAATAGTTAAATCCTAATAAGTTATTTAATACATGTAGCAAATAAAGACAATAGCCAAATGTACCCACAGCTGAACTTCAAAGACAGTGTTAAATAAAAAAAGGCAAACTACGAAATAGTTCTTGTAAAATGCTACAAATTGCCTAGAAATACCAACATCTGTAACAAAAATAGTGATGTTTCTATGTAAATAAGGACAGTGTGGGGCATGTGGTCGCTACCAGGGGCTTCATCTGAGCTTGCAATGATTATTCCTTAAAGAGACACTAACAAAATAGGGTTCATGATGTTATTCCTTATATTTCTAAGAACCTCAAACATTTCCTCATTTTTTTTGAAGCAAGTGATTAAGTAATCATAAGATTTAAAAAATATAAACTTTCATACAGACGTGGCAGCACACACATTTAATCCCAGCACTAGGGAGGCAGAGGCAGGCAGATCTCTGATGAGTTAGAGGCCAGCCTGGTCTACAAAACAAGTTCCAAGACAGCCAGGGGCTGTTTACACAGAGAAACACTGTCTCAAACCTTGCCACCCCCCCCTCCAAAATAACCTTTCCTTGAGTTGTAATATGCTAGTTTCTCAAAACAACAACAAAAAACTTCCATGATTGTGAGGATCCTGCATTAGATTCATTCTAAAACATAAACACCAGAAAAAGTTTGCATACTTGAATACAGTTCCATTCAGAAATTAGAAAACAAAAATATCAGTCAGATGGTGGTGGTGGTGCAGCCCTTTAATCCCAGCCCTGGGGAGGCAGAGGCAGGGGGATTTCTGAGTTCAAGGTCAGCCTGGTCTGCAGAGTGAGTTAGTTCCAGACAGCCAGGGCTACACAGAGAAACCCTACAAAACAAAAACAAAACAAAAATCATGTGGGCAAGCCAGACATTTCTGTAGACTGACTGAGAATGAAATTTTTTGGATCTGTTATGGAGCCCAGAAGGAATTTACAATTTTGTGTCCCCTGTCTCGGCCTCCTAGTGCTGGCAGAGGTGTATAAGCCTAGCTTCCGAAACTTACTATTGACACAAACTCATTTTTAAAATCTAGAAGTCTCTTCCTGAGTTCTCACAATCTTTGTCTAAGACCTCAAATAAATGTCTGTCTCAAGAATTATGAAGAATTTCAATAAGATACACACAAACATATACACAGAGAGACAAACACACAAAGATAATGACAACGAAACCAAAACATCAGCAGTTCAGCAGCAGATCAAGTCACAGAGTTCTCTATGCCAGTTTCCTTTTAAAAGCATCACATAGTTTAAGGCATACGAGAGAGTTTGGCAGTACCTATACCTATCGCGTCCTCCATCCCGGGCGCTGCTGTGACTGTAGCTCGTACACAGTTTACTGAAGGAAACTAGTTTCAGGTCAAGTTCATTTTCCAGCTGTCGAGCTTGTTTCCTGAGATCTTTAAGAAAATTACAAAAGTAAACCATTAGTCTATCAGTAGTTATTAAACTCATAAGACTATTTTTAAAAAGCCAGCTATGAAAATGATCACATATTCATCTCTGATCTAGTTACTCAGAAACCAGAGGCATGTCTAAGAACGTAAACTGGTCAAGTATTTGAGCTTCAGATGGGAGCAATGAGGGAGGCGGCTGTGGGAGACATACAACCTGTCACTGTCTTTTCACAGAGAGCTGGGCAGCCAGTGTCATAGCATCCTGAGAACACTCTTACAGCAATAGCCAACTGTTGTAACTTGAAGGGAAACAAGGAGAGAATAGAAATCATGAAGAAATGGAGATGATTTCTAATCCTCCCGTCAGTTTACCAGCTAACTTTGTAAGAAGCCAGCATTTTTTTTTTGACATATTTTTCTTTTTATGTTTCAAAACTCTGTTAGGAGTTCGGAATTTTTTTTTCATACAGGTAAAGTACCTTAGTAATTAAACACAGGAAAAAGCAAATTAACAAAAAAAAATATTGCTGCTACAAAAACCGTGTTGGGGGTTCGAGTAAAAACAAGCAGTACACTATAAACAAGACAAAAATACAACTGTGACAGGCTTTTAAAAAGCATGTTTTAAAAGTAGAAGCAAACAGATAAACTGGTGTAGCAGCTTGGTTTCTAAAGGGCTGAATGAAAGAAGCCATACTTGGAAACCCCTGTATGAGTGTGAGTGTGTGTGTGTGCGCGTGTGTGTTCATGGTGGAGTTCAAATGAAAGGAGTAATACAGGAAGGAATAATGTAAGAGTGTCTCAGGACTAAAGAATATCAAGACACTGTTTCATTATATTTTGTAATCAAAGGCAGGAAATGGAATTATATGGTGGATATCTACCCAGAGACCAAATCCCACTCCCAATGTTGCTCAGCCACCCACTGCATTTGAGATTTACTGACGACTCAGTTATTTTAAAAACCTCAAGCCTTTGGTTTTTCTATACATACTTAAAGCATCTGGCACAAAGGTATATTGTCAATAATGGCCTGTTCTAATTATTACAGCACAGTGTTTCAAAAACCAATAGCCTAATGACTATCAAAGGTACCAGCAGCCACTTCTACATCATTTAAAAAGAAATTCTAGCTGCGACAAGTATTTCCAAAGGGCATTTTAAATACATGTTTTAAACTATAGGCACATAGTCTAATGGAAAACATTAAGTAGAAAGCACTTTGAAAACATGACAGATAGAACATAAAATTCAGTCCCTTAGATCTACTGGTTGATGGTGACAATACCATATTTTCCCAGGGGCTTCATGGGACAAAAAGAGGAAATAGGTTTACAAACTAAATAAGCAAACAGTTAAATGAAAAAAGGTGAGCCATTTCTGATCTTTGTGGATCACTGTGGTCTAGGAAAGTTTCGTGTGACCTCACTTGAGTGGACCAGATTTTCAAGAATTAAATAACACAACTGAATGATTTCTTGGCGGGAGAAGAATAACAAATCCATTCATTGGAACCCCTTTACTATCATTTTTAACAAATCTTGGAGTCCAGGATTCTGTCACCCAGTTGTCATTAAAGTCTCAATCTCAAATTGCCAGTTAGGGTCCAGGATGAGCCGGTCTACTCAAACTCCCCGCAAGGCCGGCACTGACAAGTTCCTCCTCACTTTTAGTTTTCTGACAGTGACCTCAACTCCAAGGTTCTGACTACTTGTCTTCCGGGCTCTGGATCTTGTTGCTCAACACTCTCCTCCCAAGAGCTCGTCCCCGTAGCCCCATCCTGAGAGTCTCACCACCCTCTCAGACACTTCCATCTGGAGCCTCAGGAGCCTCTTCCTCTCCATCCCGGTGCCAACCCCTTCCCAGGTCCGGTTCACTCCGCCCCAGATCCTTCCCCAAGTTCTCAGGCCCAGGGTTCCTCTCGGACAACCTCATCCTGAAGTATGGCCGTTCCTGAGCCTTGGCTCTTCTCTCAGCTGCCTCCCTCAAGACCCAGCCTCACTAAGTCCCCTCTGCACCCGGCGGGACCCACTCAGAGGCCTCACCCTCACCTTCCCAGTAATTGCTGGTTCCCGCCGCCATCTTTGTTGCCCAACGTCAGTCGGGACAGATGAGGAGAGGCCTTGAGGGCCAGAGAGTCACCTCCACGCCTTCTTCCACCCCGAGCGCCGAGGCTGATGGGATACTCGAGCCTCCGCAGACACTGCCACCTGGTGGACAATTCGTTATTTTACAGCTTTAAGTAGCACGTTTGAAATGTTGGTTTAGCTGTTCTGGGTGTTCGTACCACATCTTTCTGTGCCTCCAATCTTCAATTCGCTGATCTCAGATTGTTCCTCTTTTCAGCAGGTGACTTAGAGGAGAGACACAGCTTCCCTTATCTCCCTTAAGTAGGATGTCTTGGGGCTGGGGTGGAGGTTGGGGGGTGGCTTAATGGGTAAGGTGCCTTGCCTGTATGTAAGAGGGTCTGGGTTCAATCCCCAGCATTCCATAAACAGAACATGGTGGTATATGCCTTTAATTCTAGTACTCAGAAGGTAGGGATAGAAAGACCAGAAATTCAAGGTCACCCTCAGCTACATAGGTAGTTCAAGGCCAGCTAGGTCCCTGGATGTTTTCCCCATGTCTACAGCAGAGCCTCAGTCCTCTGTCTAGCTAACAGCTTCCATGTGCCCACAACCTGAAGCTCACTGATTTGGTTAGACTAGCTGGCTAGCAAGTCCCAGTTTGCCTCCCCAATTCTGGAATTACAGACATATGTTGCCACGCCTGGCTTTTTCATGTTTGTCCTAGGGATCTGAACTCACATCCTAATACTTGTATGCCAAGCAATTTACTGGTTGGGTATAATATGCAGTCTATTAATAAATTGTTATGTGTTGTTTAAGTTCATTGAGAAGCTGGCTGTGGACATAGGGTTGTCACCCCGTTCCCTCATCACATACACAGTTAATACCCAAGCTGTCTCTCTTAAAGTGTCCCAAAGACCCCCTGGCTGAGGATGGGCTGGGTGACTGGCTGGCCTTTTGAGAAAGCAAACGTAGGATAGCAAAGATTAAAAATATCAGGTCCATGAGGTCAGAAGGAGAGTATTTGAATCAAAACACTGTGTCCTTTATCACATCTGGAAGGCCAATTATTCCCTGTGACCTTCCTGACATAAAGATGCCGGGGGTGGGAATGGCTCATTGGACGTCTCACCTAAGAGAAGCCATTCTTCCTGGAACCCATTTTGGAGCCGAGAGAGGCTCCAGCTGGCTGGGTTTTGCTCTCCAGGTCTCCTTAGTTGCTTTCTGCTGGATGACGGTCCCACTCTCATGGGCTACTATCTCCTGCTTGCTGTCTCTTTCATTTCTGTTTGCTGTATACCTAAAAACCATGTTCGTTTGAAACTAGCACAACGATTGCAGATCATTCTTCATTCAGGACACTGAGCCATCTCCCCAGGTCCCTGGCTATGCAGTTCTTAAACTCTATTTCCCCTTAGTGAGTTTATTTCCATTATTGAATTTTTCAGGTCTTTTGCACTCACTACTTTTCTTTGTAGAGACTGTTCCCTGCTGAGACTCTTTTTAAAATCATTGGTTACACGATGCTTATAGCTGGGTGTTGTGGCAGTGTGCTCCTTTAATTCCAGCCCTTGGGAGGCAAAGGCAGGTGGATTTCTGTGAGTTTGAGGATGGCCTGGTTTACACAGTGAGTTCCAGGATAGCCAGGGCTATGTAAACAATGGTTCTCAACCTGTGGAGTGGGACTTCTTTGGGGAGTCAAAGGACTCTTTCACAGGTGTCACCTAAAACCATCACAAAACACAGACATTTTTCACTATAAATTCATAGCAGTAGCAAAATTAAAGTTATGGAGTAGCAATGAAAATAATCTTATGGTTGGAGGTCACCAAAAGATAAGAAACTTTATTAAGGGTAGCAGCATCAGGAAGGTTGAGAGCCACTGGCTTACAATATTTCTTGTCTGTACTTTTTGCATATCTGGTGAGATGTAGGTGTATACGACCCAAAATAATCCCCAGGGAACTCGCTGGCACATTGTTCTTTGGATCCTGAGGTCTTGAGCCTCAGACATCTTTCCCATTTTCAACGTCTAGTTGTTCTACATATGGTGCACAAGTTTTCACTGTCCTTAGTAGGAAGAACACAAACATGTCTATCTTGTCGAGAAATGAAGCTTTCCATTTTAATTTTCTGCAACAATTCCTCTTATCTCTTTATTTTATCTCCATTCTTGAATTTATTCATTGCCATCATTTTAATAATGTTTGAGTGACAGTTGAAAATAATTGTACTTCCCACAAGACTATTGCTATTTTTCTGGGAAAATAATGAAATGTATTTATATTCCACGGTGATGAGCCAGAACACAATGATTTCACTTTGTGGAAAGTCTTACATGAAGTGTATGTTCTTTAGTTGGTGGTTCAGTCTCTAAGCACTTGGAAGGCAGGGACAGGAGGTGCCTGTAGCAAGCTGGCTTGCTAGGCTATTCAATCGCTGAGCTGTATTCAAATGAGAGACTTTGAAGAGTAGTGAGGAAGACACTTGGCAGTAAGCTCTAGTGTGCACATGCACACACACATGTATGTATGCTCACACACTTGCAAACATGCATACATACACAGATACCACACAAACATAGGCATGCAATAACACATTAATTAAACCCATGGTATTTGTTGGTGAGTCAGAGGATTGCTCTTACAGATTGGGCTAACATCTTAGTCTCACATTTACTGCTATCCCTGGAAATCTAACTGAAGATTTCTTGAGATGCTCCTGAAGGGAGCCCCCAGTAGACAACTTCCCTTAACTGCTCAGAAATAAGCCATGACTTCCCAACAGTGTCTTCTTGGGAGAGTCAACAGAATATTGACACTGGGTTTCTTATGACTTCTGTCTGCATTGAAATGCAGGGTTTAAATAAAAACAGATTTAGGCATAGAAGCTAGGTTGTATGGACACGGTGTCTGGTAAAAACACAAAGCTCAGGCTAATCTAATGTCTCAAGTAGAAGATTAGCAAAGCCTCTCACTCTCTACTCTTTAATTGTTTGAGGATTCCTTTTCATGCTGCAGGATGGAAGCAGCCTTCCAGTAGAGAGAGGCTCTGGGGGAACACTTCATTAATTTAAAAATGAGAAGCAAAATGCTATACCCCCAGCACCTCCTCTATCATACTCTCCTCACTACTTACATAGTAACACACGCTTCTCCAGTGGTGCCATAACATCGCAGGCACCTAAGACACAACCAGTTAGTCTAAGGCCTACAAGAAGTTTAGAAAAATATCTTTAATCAAAAGTCCCAGCACTAGACCATGCAAAATTCAAGAGTGTTTGTCCCAGAGAGCTCTTGACACATTTCTTTGGATGCACTAAAGACCTACCACCATGTAGCTCCGCAGCACACAGGTGCACCAGCTCCAACAGGAGGCTGTCAGCAAACACACTCACAGCTCAGGACCATCAGGACCCAGGAAAGGCCTTACCTAGCTCAGAGGACCTGAGAAATAAACACTGGCAGAAAAATGAGCGGGAAATGATTCACAGGTAAAGGTGGGAAGCTGGATTCTCTGTCAGACTAGGAGGCAGAAGCTCCAGGTATTAGCTGAGGACCAAAGGCTAGACCATATGACAAACAAGATTAACAGTGGGGAAGACCATACAGGCAAGATGGCTCTGACCCAAGGACCCATTTCTCCTATCAGAAGTGACCCTCTCCCTCAGCCATGCCATGGCTGGTTTCCTAATCTATTGTGTAGGTAAAGCCCTGTCACATGAGACAAACAGCAAGGGCTCTGTTTCCTGACTGACAATGACATGCTCTAGGGCCTGACTCAGCAGGTCTTCAATATTGCAATACACAAAGGAGTGGGGGAAGCTGGCCTCGGTGCTGGGTGTGTTCTATGAAGCTGTCACAGGACTGTTGAGTTCTCAGCCCAGCATGGAGGACCATGTGGGACAAACCCACAGAGGAAGAAGCAGTGCTGTAGGAAAATCCATAGTGTTTTAGGAGTCCTTCCTCATCAAAGTTTTCAGGAGAGTGAGGCAAGTATGATAGTGTGGGACGTGCCTTGGCTTGGTAGAAGAGTAACATCCCTAAGGGTAGCTTTTGTACCTTCCATGATGTAATTCTGGTGTTCGGAACAGGTACATGGGTTCAGATCTTACAAGAGTGGGGTATTTTCCCCCTATAATTCTGGGCGTTGGATCTAGGGCATATCTAGGCACATGCTCTACCACTGAGCGGCAGCTCCAGTCCTTCTTTGTACATGTGTACATTCATGGGTGTGTGTGTGTGTGTGTGTGTGTGTGTGTATGTATGTGTGTGTGTGTGTGTAGGCCAGAGGTTGAAGTCAGTGTCTTCCTCGGTAGTTCCCTGCCTTAATTTTGGAGACAGGAGCTCTCATTGAACTGATTTGCCTGATTGGTTGAGCAGCAAGCCCAAGGAATCTTCTGGTCTCTGCTCTCCCAGCACTGAGGAGTCCATGCAGCGTCATCCACCGTTTTTATGTGGGTGCTGGGGAGTCAAACTCAAGTTCTTATGCTTGCTCTTCACTGAATGAAAGTGAATTAGGGAACTAACCATGGCATCAGATAGGTTCACTTCCCCATCCCCCACCAGCCCATTTTTCCTTTTAATTTTGAGATAAGAGTCTCACTAAATTGCTTGGTCTGGTCTTGAACTTATTCTGTATCCTACAAGTTTTGAACTTTTAATCTCCTCAAGTAGCTGGGGTTATTAGCCCCAGTAGTCTGGCTAGGTCTGGAGGAATTCTCAGAGTACCTATAGAATATGCCTCTACTCTGTTTCCTGCTTGGGTGACATGGCTTTGATGTTTACTCTGCTCACATCCCAAAACACATAAGTTTCTTTGGTTTCATTCGGGTAACCATGGTAACTTTCTCTCTCTTGCTCTCTGACACTCCTTACTCCCATCCTCCCACCCATTTTTTTAAATTTTGGGATGCATGTTCTAATGTGTAGTTTAGGGGGCCTTGAGGTATGTAGCCTGGGCTGGCCTCAAATTTGCAGTGATCCCCCTGCCTCAGTTTTCTAACTTGTGAGAATTATAGGTCTTAACCTGATACAGCCTTCCTTTGATTTTTCTTTTGATAGGTAACTTTCGGGTGAATGCTATCT